AGGTTTGCTACATTATTGATGGTACTAACATTTCTTTTATTACAGGCAAGGATTCTTTCTGAAAATTCAAGGACATTTTCATGAAATTCAAGTACAAAATCAATATTTACTAAATTCAAGTACTTTTCAAGAACTCCCCTCAAATTCAAGGACTTTTCAAGGACTGTGCGAACCATGAAGAATAGTGACATACTAACTGGACTCGACGCACACGCACACGCACCCGCACCCGCACCCGCACACACACACGACGATGACGTGGTGGCGCCACCACTCCCCCGGCGCCGCCGCCGCTGCCGCCGCCGCTCACCTTGAACTCCTTCGTCGACATGTCGTGGTTGATGGCGACGCTGCTCACCGCCTTGCGTATGCTGATCGGGGGTCGTGACCCCCGGCTCCGCGACGACCCCCCGGTGCCCGACCCTCCCTTCTGGTTCTCCTTGTTGCTCGCTCCCCTCCCCTCCGCCGCCTCCTTCGACAGTACGAGCACGGACTTTGGACGCGTCGCCCACGGCGTTGCCGGCTTGCGTCCCCCGGCAACCGTCGTCAGGCTGTCCTGGCTGCGCGACAGGTACTGGCGACGCACGACCGCCTGCCTCCTAGATGGCGCCTCCGGGCGCGCGAATCTGTCGCCTGCGGGGAGGGGAGGGGGAGCGTTAATCGAGGCGGGCGTTCGATTCGCGGGGAGAGGAAGGGGACGCTGCACAATGAAATCTACGCGACGGTTTTCCACGTTTCCCTCGTTTATTTTCCGACGGATGTTGTCCGTTTTCAATTTTCTCGTTATCCATTTTCTTCTGTTATTTCTGAACCCCCCCAAGAATTTCCCCATACTTTCCCTGTAAGTTCTGAGAAAACCTCCTCTTCCCCAGTCAGTGAGCAACGTCTTACTTCCGCCGCGTCCCGCCCCGCCCCTCGAGAAATTCCCCCCTCCCTTACGGTGCTCACCCCTTGTGTCGCCGACGGGCCGTCTAGATTCCGACACCTTCCTCTCGGGTCTCGTCGGCGTGGTCGACACGGCAATCTTGCTGGCGGTGGCACGCTTAGAGGGCCCCACCGGCGTAGCAAACCGCGTCGCGCTGCTTCCCGACGCCGCCGCTTTACTGCCGGCAGCGGTCGTCACGGCAACCGCACTGACGGGTGGCGCCATCTTGCCGGCTCCCCGCTTCATGCTGCGCCGCGCGGCTCGCTGCTGCGACGAGTCGTTTATCGCTTACAGGAGCCTGGAACGCAAACAGATGCGGGGATGAGTGGGAGGGCTTCAGGGACGATTCCTGTCAGCTGATGGGATAGACGCACGGTCGCCCACGCGCGCGCGCAGAGAGAAAAGCGAGTACGGTGTTAGCTGTGTCAGCTGCCACCTCTATAGAACGGACACCTGTCTGTAAAGGTCACCTGTCTGTAAAGGATACCTGTCTGTAAAGGTCGCCTGTCTGTAAAGGTAACCTGTCTATTAAGGACACATGTCTGTAAAGGACACCTGTTTGTAAAGAACAACTGTCTGTAAAGAACACCTGTCTGTAAAGAACACCTGTCTGTAAAAAGTCAACCTGTCTGTAAAAGGACACATGTCTGTAAA